ACTCTGGCTTCATTGGATCTTAGCAATAATCAACGTTACAATGTACATGATTTTGTAGCAGTAGAAAAATTAGCAGAAGCACTTTGCACAAATACTGCTTTGACCACTTTGATCCTTTCCTCTAATTGCCTTGGTACCAAAGGTGGGGAAATATTAGCGGAGGCACTTTATATAAATACTACCTTAACTACTTTAATTCTTTACAATAATCAGCTTGGTCCTGAAGGTGGGAAAGCGTTTGCAAAGGCTCTATGCAAGAATTATACACTAACTTCTTTAAATCTTGACAATAATCAACTTGGTTATGAAGGTGGGGAAGCGTTAGCGGAGGCTCTTTGCAAAAATTCTACTCTGACTTATTTAGATCTTAAAAATAATGAACTTGGTTCTGAGGGTAGAAAAGTGTTAGCAGAAGCGCTATGTAAGAAATCAACTCTTATTTCTTTAGATCTTGGTAGGACGTCATTTGTTGGTTAGGCTGAGAAAGGGAATAAAAAAAAAAAACAGCCTTTTTTTAAAATGCGAGGATACGCAAATAGTTCTGAGAAATAATAGTATTGTGAACGGTTTAAATAATATGTAAAGCTAAAATAGGCATTTAATAAATAAAGTCGATTGACAATCAACATATTTCAAGAATCGCCCGCGTCTTGCATGGATCATTATAATCGATAAATTAAAGTTATTATTTGAAATTAGTAATTTGTTACGAGTATTGTAAGCGGATAAATTTAATTCGGATCTAAAAAAACTTGGTGTTACAGAATTTTATGCGATCATATCTAGTTTATTATGTATGTGAGATAGAACTTCACTAAATGTGTAATTCATTCAAGTTAGTTCTAAAATATATTTACGTCGATATTGAATTATAAATAAAGCTAAGTTGTAAAGAATTTTAAATCAACAAATGTTGATTTCGAACTTATTTGAGTAGATAATTTTAGAGTTAAATACATTTTACGATATATTAACAACTTCTGAAAAAGCATTAGCAAAAAAAATAAAAATATCAATTAGAAATAATAACTTTTATATCTAATATATATTATAGTGAGAATTTAGCAAATGAAAGATGCTTTTAAAATACAAGACCTCTAAATTACATTGATTTTTACCCTAATATATTAATAAAAACCTTCTCAACTACCACAGGCTTTACAAAAAAAAAAAAAAAAGTAGTATATAAATCCTCTTGATAATATAATTCAAATAGTACCGAAATAATCTAAATTAGTTTGCAAGATTACAAGATATCATAATTAAATCAAACTTATTTTAAACAAGTTAGCTACATTTAAATTTTAGGTCATTATCGTCTAGGTGATAACAAAATTTCTATAAAGTTCTATAGATTATTGACTGAATTTTAATTACTTTTGATGGGAATTACCTAGGTCTTGCAGAAAGAACTTTAATCGCAGTATATGTAATTTAAGAATGCATGACTTACGCTCAATTCAATACTTGAAAATCATTTGTTAAGTCTCAAGACTTTATAATGGATTATTTCCATAAAGTTTGATTTAAATAAATAAAATTTTAAGATCATGTTATTCTTTAATAAATTAGTTGAATAGTTTTTAATCCATATATAAATCGATCCTGCCAATATAAATTTATTTAAATCTCATTGCAACCTACATCGATTTAAAATTGATATAAATTCGATCTCAGCATATAACGTGGGCATTTAATTTTAAAGCTTTTCAAAAATTTTTTTTTAATAGTTAAAGTATTAAAGCAAAAAATGTACATTTACAATAATAATTATTTTTTTTGATTTTTGTTTAAAAATTAAATTATAATATATTATAATGAAATTTTTAAACCAGTAATAACAAGCATCGATTTATATATAATAAAGGGATAAACCACTACACAGCCTGCGCATTATTTCATTGCGCTGAATTTTGAGAGACTGCGCAGTGTAATTTTTATAATTCAGGCCAACTATCATACAGGAATTCTGGTCAGCTTACCATGATAAAATTGATGCAACAGCTAGTGCGTACTGTATTAAGGCAGCAGCTTGCGAAATAAATTCAAAAAATCCTTGGATGTAGGTTTTGGGTCTGATTTTTGTTTCTTGAAAGCACAGATTTTCTGGGAACCCTCCTAATAAAACGTCATGTTTTTCTAAGTTTAAAAAATGTGTTATAAACATTGTCAAATTATTTTTTTAGATTCTTAACGTAAATTTCATTTTACTAATATTCTTTAATTTTTAAAGAGCTTTTTATTACAGCAGTGCAGACAAACTAGTCCCGACAAATAAAGTTGATGAAATTCAAATCGCTAATCTTTCTTCATAAAAAAGTAAACAAAAAGTAAATTTCAAAATTTACACCAGTGTATGAAACACGGGTATTACAGCGCTTTTCAATTTACTGTGATCATCAAATGATTGACTATCATACGGAAATCTTCAAAATTCTCTAAATTTAAGGCTTTTTTGCAAATAAATCTAAATTTCTTGCCAGTAAATAAAAATTCCCCAAATTCCTCTCTTATTTTCGCTTTTTCAATATTTTTTATCAAGAAATATTCAAGAGCTGGTTGTTTGTGCAGCTAAATAATACGGGAAATCTCATGTCTTTTTGTATCATATTTATTATTTTTTTCAAACTTTGAACGAAGATATCTTGACAACCGCCAAGTCGAATTCGATGACTTTTTTTTATTTAAATTCTAGAATCTGTGGAATTCAATAAATAAAAAATTATCGAATTTGGTTTGGTGGTTACTGATATATCCCTTTTCAAAATTTTAAAAAATTCTTAAAATAAAAGTTGCAACAAAATTTCTCAAACTTTGAATGAAGTTATTGACAACCACCAAGTCAAATTTTTTTTTTTTTTTTTTGTACCATATACCTTTAGCACCCAAATAAAAAAATGTTTAATTCAAATAAAAAAGACACAGAATTGGCTTGGATTTGTCAAGATATATCTTCGCTCAATGTTTTAAAAAAATTCAAACCATCTATCAAAATAGATGTTGCCCAAAATTTTTCATACTTTGAGTGAAAATATTTCATAAACTACTAAACCAAATTCAATAGACGTTTTTTAATTGAATTCTAAGAATCCATAAAATTCAATAAAGAAAGTTCATCATTTGGCCCTGTGGTTACCAATATATCTTTGTCCAAAGTTTTTAAAAAAACCAAGTCAAATAGAAGCTGCGCTGACAACATCAATCCAATTTTGATGAACTTTTTTTTTTTATGAATTCTAAAGATACAGAATTCAAATAAAAAAAAGTTTATCAAAATTGGGTTGAAAGTTGTCAAGATATATTCATTTTAAGAAAAATTTTGTTAAATTTTTTTAACATTTGAGTGAAGGTATCTCAACAACCACCAGGCCAAATTAATGAATTTTTTTTTTATTTAAATCCTACGTATATGCAGAATTTAAATAAATGAGAGTTCATTAAGTTTTGTCTGGTGCTTGTCAAGATACCTTCGTTCAAAGTTTAAGAAAAGTTTAATTTATAAGGCATTATGAATATCAAATTGCTGATTTCCAAATTTCCAGATTTCTGGTGATATGTGATTTACAAATTTGATGATCACAGTAAATTGAAAAGCGCTGTAATTATTGCGCTTTGCAAAAAGATGTGACCTCTGCAGATCACAATGTCGTGTGAAAATCGGAGATTCTGTAGATTTTAAGAATCTTACCAATTTCAAATAAATATAAGCGTAACTGATCGAGAATATGAATTAACAGACAATTTAGAATCTCGGAAATTTTCCTCGTTCATCATCACAAAAATCATGGGGTCACATCTTTTTGCAAAGCGCTATAATTGATTTGCAAATCCGTGTAATATATAAAATTCATAAAATCAAAAACTGCTTAATATTAGGGTAGGGGTTAGGGCTAAAGGTTAGAGTTAGAGAGTATTTTATTTTAAAATTTCGCATAGATTATTTTTTGTTAGAACCCAAAATGGTTTTATACAATTAGAAATCATCAATCGAAAAATATTACCTTAAAATATTAAATCAATGCAAGCTAGACACTTCCAAGTTCTTAAATTTTTTTAAGTCAATTTATAGCGGGTTAAAGTTATAGTATTTTTATAATTGAACACAAAATTTGGCCACCTTTTATATATAAAAAAAGAAAAAGTAAATTTGACTTTTTTTAAACAATTAATTTATATATTATAAATTTAAAATTTAGCTACTTAATATATAAATATTAGCTAAATTTCCAAATTGCCTCTTCATATATATAAAAATAAAATTTAAATTTGGTTGCCAAAATTTTTATTTGCTGTGACTGGTTGTTCGCACTATAGAAATTTTTTTGTATATTGTATTTATTATGAGTTAGTGTTAAAATTTTATATTGTCAGAATTTGTGTTGATCATTGAGTATTGATCTGCTAGTATAACATCTGATATACCAAACACTTTTCATTTTGGTTCTTCTGATTTCACATCCATCTTATGATAATTTTTTGTTCTTGTTGTTAAATGACAGTAGAACAAAAAACTATTAGACTTAGAAAGTTCAGTCTAGTAAATATTGTTTGTTTTTTAACAAATATTTATAGCCTCAGTTCTAATGAAATGTACACTAGAAAATTATTAGCACAAAGGTATTTATTTTAAACTAATATGTTATATTGCTTTATTTAAAATAATATTATTTATTTATTCAGATTCGTCTCAAGCTAATTCTGCTCCAGTTTGGCTCAACATTACCGATAATACTGAAAGCTTTGGTATATGTATAATATTTTATTTACGTGTATAATTGTAACTAGTGATTTAAAATAATACTTAATAGAATTATTCAATTTATATATGAATATTTGTTAATCTTTATATAGCTTAACTACAGTAACTATAGTAAAGTTTATTTATATTTAAAATAAAAAAGTTTTTAAAATATAATATATAGAATGAAAAAATAATTTACAATAATAAATTTTAGTTAAATAAAAAAAAATAAATTGTGTGACTAAATTTATGCCAAAGTTTAGTTTGACATTTTACCAGTAATACGAGTGATATTAAAGAAGTAATCAGGATAAGACTGAATAATATAACAAAGCTTCCACAACATAATGCTAAGTAATAACATAAGCCAAACCATTCTGACATTTCGCCAATTAATTCTACCCAATTGAACAAAAAACCACCAAACCAGAAATGTCCCACCAATACTTTTCATCGACTGAACATTGTATACCGTACCACACCATAACGTAAATGCATATGAAAAAATCTCTAAAATTAGATTCCAATGTTTATAATTAATGCTATCTATCAATAATGCAACATGGTACGTTAAGGTACAAAAAAAGAATATGCCAGTCTCAAAAGGTGCTAACAAATTTGATTTAGAGATATTCTTGTTAAATATGTATGTAGGTACAGAAAATGCTAAGAGAAGTAAGCCAGTAACAAATTTACAACGGATCAGTGAATTTTGTGAATCGAATCCGATAAACGCCATCGTTCCATATATATATCCTGAAAACCCAAGAATGGAAATCAATGAATAGACAGCCATTGTACCTATTATGTGAATTTGGTATTGTATTGCGACAAAAGCATAAATTACAAAAAGGATCCTCAAAGCAAATATATGAGATCTATTATCATAACCCGATGCTCGTCGTAAAAATGACCAAAACCATAATGGAGCCCACAGAATACAACCAGTTAATGCGATATAATCTCTTCGTGAAGTGCCAACATCATAAATACGTGCATTAAAAACTATAAAAAAACAAACAATATGTGCGAGAGACTCCCAGACAATAACTGGAACCCAATATAAGAAATCCAATATAAATGGAAAAATGGAGATTTTGAATAATACTGATAAAGAATATACGAATAATGATATAGATATAAACCAAATTATATTTGTAAAAGAAATAAATCCTGCAAAACGTTCATGATAACTTGGTTTTCGTGGAGCAATTATGTCATCTGGAGATGGTAAATGACTTTGAAGTTGATCAAGAAGCTCATCAGGAGTGAATTGTTGCAAGAGCGAATTAATAACCTCTGAAGCAGTTAGGTCATTCTCTATATTGTAATATCTGCTTAATCCAAATAACTGACGATACAAGTTTATTAAAAGTTTTTGATGTTCCTGAGCAACTAAGTTATGCTGACTTGGTTGAAGTCTTAACTCTTCCCGTACAAATGTCAGCTGTTTCAACCTTTCAAAAGTTCCAAGCACTTTTATAAATTGAATAGGATCCTTTAGATTACTAAGATGATCAAAAAATGTATTTATGGATGTTGGTTTGTCGTTTGTAGTATCGCCACTTTTACTTGAAAAAATACTGTGAACATTTCTAACTAGTAAAAGTAGGCATATTAAAATATAGATCGTAATCCATTTATTGTGTAAAAGCTTCATTTTTTCAATTTTATAAAATCAGTTGATCAATTTTTAGATGAAGTTTTAAATTTAATTAAAGGGGAAATGCGATTAAAGAAATTCAACTTCAATGATAATCCATTTATTATTATATATCACATAAATGGCAATTATTACGTAATATTTATGGCCAGAATATATAGTGTTACGAGATATGTACATAGCTTATAAGTTATAAAAATACGTCTCACTTATAATGATTGCACGTACATACATTGAAAGGCAAGTTAATGATAAATGTAAGTCTTTTTGTACGTTTACAGTGTTTGCATAATAGGAATATAAATATATAGATAATGAATGATATGAACTATGTATTAATACGCAGTAAATGATTTATATATTTATCACTGCGCTTTACAATCACGCAATCGTGCAACAATCAGATGATTATGTGGGTGTGCAATGATCTGCGGTGTATTTGCTGAATTTATGAATTTGCGAATTCGTTAAACAGTATATTTCCACTGACCTGCTTTTATTAATTATTTACAGAATATGGGGCAACAAAATTGGAATTTCCGACTTTTTGATTTTTTCATTACAAAAATAGAAATTCTTAAAAAAATAAGCCCGCATTATGGTAAAATTGGCCCAGGAACAATTTTCACTTTATGGGCGGCTATGATTTCATTTGTAAAATTACGAGTAATTCCGACCTAATTTTTTGATCGTGCTCTTAGCCAATCAAAATCGAGAAACTGCCGGTCCGATTTTGTTGCGGCGGCTATGGTTAATTGAAAATTCTCAAATAATACTTGATAATTATCATAACAATATTTTTCAGTTGTGTTAGCTGGATTGGGTGCAAAATTCATACATTTATGTACAGAAAATAACGATTAAAAATTACAGTTTCTGGACTCTCTAATTCTGATGAATCTCCTTGAAGTAAGTGGCAAAATTCGATATGTCGGTGAGCTGATCGAAACTGATTAATTATTTATTATATATTAAAAGTCCAGAGTCCCACTAATTATTGAATATTTATTTTATTGAGTGTTGCGCATTTCGCCAACAATCCCTTCACTGACAATTAATTCACAGACAAGTTTCACCGACAATTAACTTATCGACAAGTTCATTTATTTCATTGACAGCTCATTTCACCGACAAAGTAATTCTGTCAAATTAGAATTAGAATTAAAGTCGGTGAAATGAACTTGTCGGTATTACAGCTGTTTTCATAAATTCTGGGACACCCTAAAAAAATTTGCCGAGGTCTATTCGGCCGAAGTTGATAAGTTATTTCGGTATGATCAGTATAATAAAATAATTAAGAAAAGATAATAATGTCAACGATTTTAAATTTTCGTTCGAATGCTTGTCCAACATGTTTGGTACATTTAGTTTGTACGAGAATTTACGGAAAAAACTGTTCATGTCAACCAATAAACCTTAACAAGAAATGTAAAAAGAAACAAATATAAACTAGACTTATAATAAATATATTACTCGAACAGGTGCTGCTATTAAAAAAGTTAAATATGATATGAATTTGTCGACTGGTTATTATTAATATCTGGCAAGAATGCATGAAGAATTATGATAAACTAAATCAAAATAAAAAATTTATGTTTATATTTATTTATATATTTTTTGTCTTCGACAAAATAATTAGAAATAATGCTTTCGTTTGAACGAAAATGGACCTTGTCAAAAGAATGGAATCGAAATTTAGTTTAGTTTTTTAATAACAAATTTTTTGTCTTCGACAAGAATTAAAAAATAATTAGAAATGAATAAATGTCTTCGTTTGAACGAAAATGGATCTTGCAAAGAATAGAATCGAAATTTAGTTTAATTTTTAAAACCGAATTTTTCTTCAACAAGAAATGAAAAACAGTTAGAAATGAATAATGCCTTCGTTTGAACGAAAATATATCTTGCCAAAGAATAGGAATTGAAGTTTTATACAATTTTTTAAAACCTAATTTTCGTCAAAAATAATTAGTAATAAATAAAGGCTTGTCAAAGAATAGGATTTGAAATTTTACACAATTTTTTAAAAACAAAATTTCAGCAAAAAATAATTAGAAATGAATAAAAGCTTCATTTGAATGAAAATAGAACTTGCCAAAGAATAGTAATTGAAATTTTACTTAATTTTTTAAAAACAAAATTTCATCAAAAAATAACTAGAAATGAATAAAAGCTTCGTTTGAATGAAAATAGAACTTGCCAAAAAAACTAATTGAAATTTTACTTAATTTTTTAAAAACAAAATTTCGTCAAAAAATAATTAGAAATGAATAGTAATTAAAATTTTATACAATTTTTTAAAACTGAATTTTCGTTGAAAAATCATTAAAAATGAATAAAGGCTTCGTTTGAGAGAAAATGTATTTTTCCAAAGAATAGGAATTGAAATTTTACATAATTTTTTAAAAATGAGTTTTCGTCGAGAAATAAATAAAGGCTTCATTTGAGCGAAAATGGATCATGCCAAAGAATATCGATTTTAGTCTTACTGCTGTATTGTAATGTATATTAGTCACCCGATCTTATTAAATTACGCATCTGATATTATCTGCTACTGAATCCCGAAATCAATTACTTATCGACTTCGGCCGAATAGACTTCAGCAAATTTTTTTAAAGTGTCACAGAATTTATGAAAACAGCTGTAATTCTACCCCAACACTAGTCCTACCCTTTTTATTGTCAGTGAAATATATTGTCAGTGAATTTTAGTGTCGGTAAAGAAAGCTTGTCTGTAAATTTAAACTGCCTGTAAAACGATTTTCAGTGAATTTTTGTGTCGGTGAAAATTAACAAGTCGGTAAAACAAGCATGTCGGTAAATTAAATGTCGGTGAATTAATCGTCTGTAAAAAAAGCTTGTCGGTAAAATGGGTTCGGTAAAACGTGATGTCTTCGAAGTGATTGTCGGTGAATCAATACGGACCCAATTTTATCATGTTTCAGAAATTATGATATAGCTGTAAGATTAATGGCGGCACTATTAAATCTAACCGGATTGCTTCTGGCATATCCCTGCTTAATCATCGTTTTGTTGACTTTGTCAACTTAAATTAATAATTATGCGAAAATTTGAGTTATTGTACAAATGTTATAACAACTAAAAGTAATTGCTTACGGTTTTGTAATGTTATATAATGGATCTATAATAGCTGCATAATAATCTTATAATAGTTTTTATTATTCGAATTAATTCAAATTTGAAATTACTACGAATTGATTCGAATATTCAACGAATTGAATATTCGATTCCAACCTCTAATACCAAAAAGGATGACTTTGATGACACAATAGAAGCAGAGAATATTTATAGTGAAAATAGTTGAATCGCTTAATGAAGAAGATTGGGCAGAACAACTGAAACTTGGCTAACATAATGATGAATTTGTATTTAAACCGTAAAAGACTGCATCCATTAACTATATAAAATCGCTAGAGACAGAGAATGCTGATTGAATATGCAATTATGGTGATTGTTATCGATACAGGACTGGTGTAGAAGAGGACAAAAAATGTATCTCTTGAATACTATAAAGAAGCAATTAAATTAGGGAACGCAGAAGAATTAAGTAATTTGACAATTGTTATAAGGATTCATTTATCATTAAGAATCTTCTGAAGCGGGTGGTACTAATGGAATGTACCGAACGATCTTGACTGTTGTTATTGAAATTAACGTTGAAAAGGATGAGAATCACTTCATTGACTATCGAAAAATTCATTAAGGTGAATAGTGTTATTGAACAAATAAGTAAACATGAGATTGATGCTTAAAAGAATGAACTAAAGTACTCATTGATCATCAAGAATCTTCAGAAACTGGTCATGCTTGTAAATTACAACCTCTGTAGTTGTCATCAATTGACGTAAAATTGAGAAGGCTAAAAAGAGGTACTATACACCAATCACAATAATTATCAAAATTCTTCTGAATTGGAGGCAAATAAATCAATCATCATTATCATGCTGAAATGGAATCAAAAACTTGTCAACATGGGCCATACTAACAGAACATATAATCTTAAGTGTTGTTATGGACATTAAATTTGCGTTGAAAGCATGAACATAAAATATAAAAATTTTTTGAGATAGCTAATCTTATCGGTGTACTTGCTCTTGGTTATTGTTATGAAAACGTGACTTCTGCTACACTGGTAGAGCCTACAATGTTGGATTTTACTATAATGAAGGAATTATGATCGATGAAAAAGTGGAATTGAAAAAAAACCAAAACAAGCAAGTTGATTATACAGAAACATTAATTCATTAGGCATCAAAACTAAAATTCCAGACTTATCTTATATTTACTAATGCCACTATTCATCTACGATCAAAAAGGAAAATTGCCATTCGTAATCTTGCATTCTCAAATATGTATAATTATATATATATAAAGTTTATTTATAAAAACATTATTTTTTTAAAAATAAAGCTTTCGATAATATTAACAATTCTTTATGTCATCTACTATTTTTTTTTTTTTTAAAAAAAAAAGTACATATATATTTGAATGTTAATGAAAAAAATTTTGGTAAATAAAATTTAAATAAATTATAACGTAGCCAAGCAAATATGTTAATTTCAAGTGCATAGATCAATAAATGACACGGAACATAACTATATCAGAATTTAACAAAAACGATATCGATATCCTTCAATACTAGCTCTGGGGACAGCTTAATACTAATGATGAAAATAGGCTATTAATCTTTAAAAACGTTAACAGATATTCCCTACAATTAAAATCCTCGTCGTAAGTAATAATAACTTGAAATCCTAACAATAAGAATACAAATATTTATTGTTTTCTTACCTCCACTTGCGTTTCAATAAATGTAGCAATTCAATAACTGTGATCATAATCAGAAGTTTTCGTTACTGAAAAGATTTTCGCTAGTTTAACGGTTAAAGCATTACCCATTACCAATTAGA